TGTTGACTTCTTGAAGGGTTTAAACAATGCATTGTCATCCCATCTATTGCGCTGAGAAAGGTGGCCAATAGAAGGACACAACGCCGCTAAAATTGCAGTTTTGTCCATAAAATGATACAAAGAAAAATTAACACAGTTTCTGCACAATTTAAGAATCGGTTTAATTTATGTCGAGAGATAAATCTAACACATAAGGAATATGGATTGGTAACATAAAATAAGAATGGGCTATAAACATGTAGTTGAAGATGAAAGTATGTTAACAATAGTGAATTTGGGATTCTAGTGCGTTTTGTAATATGGTTAATTCAAAGAAATTGTTTGTTTGATTGTGTTAATAGATAATTATAATTAGTTAAAATGTACTTTAAAAATAGTATGTAAAGCATATTGTGAGATGGGGTCGCCTGGAATGGCAATAGAGAAGTTGAGTGAGATGGAGGAGAAGGGGATTGAGGTTACTTCGGTTACTTTTACCACAAATTTACACTGGGTTGTACAAGAAGGAAGGAGTGAGGAGGCCGAGAGGTTTTGAGATGAGAGAGTAACGAAAAAGGGTTGTGTTCCTCATGTTGGGGCGTATAATGTGAGGCTTATGTATATTCATGGCGGTGAGGTAGAGGTGGTTAAGAGGTTAATTGACGAAATGAGTAATGCTGGGATAAAACCCGATGCTATTAGTTATAACGACTTGATGACGTTGGAGGATTTGGGCTTGGCTCCAATTGACACTAACAAGGTCGATTCTGGTAAGTCAGAAATGGCCAGTACCTGAGTTTTTGTGTCTTGAATTGGTAGAGTATTGTACACTTTTGAGCAAGTTAGATTGGATTTTTGGGTAGTCATAAACTTCAAGATAATGTTTTCTAAGTGTTGTTGCATACAGCTTAACATAGAGGGCTATACGTGGAGCTCATCAAGATTTAAAATGCATCTCGTGATATTTAGAACATCAAAAGCATATGTAATTTTTTTTTTTTGTTAATTTTTATCTCATCTTTCATTTTAAGCATGTGTACTTTCATCCTTTTCTTTTACTCTTGATTCTTTTTATTTTCTGAATTGTTTTGGATCCCATCTTTAATTATTTTTGTTAGTGTTCATATTTTTTTACCATGTATCATTATCTATGGTGGCGAGTTGAAGCTTGATTCTGTAATTTTGTTGATTGGAAAACAAATTTGGAGTCTGAAGTTGAAATTGTTCGAATTGTGCATCGATAGGTGCTTCATTTTCATTTTCCCATGAGGTTGAACCTAAACCTGAACACAAAAGAGCTTTTCATACATTGATAAGGGACGTATGAATTCTCTAAAAAGAGAGAATCCATGGGGGTCCCTCTGAAATGCCCAATTTTTAGTGAAAAATATATACAAATTCAGTTGTGAGCAATTATCGTCAACAAAATATCGTCACAAATTTATGCCATCAATCTTGAACAATGATTATACGAATGCTACAAAGCACTTGCATCAAGGGATTTTGGAATTCTTTAATTTCATAACGATACAAGTTTTCTAGATATATTGAATAAGAAAGATTTTTGGTAGTGTTTTAATTGAGTGATTTGAAATCTATGTAGGGCATTATAATTTTTTTAAGCAATAAAAGAAACGGCACATCTTTCACATAAATGACATAGTCCAGCATTCCAAGATACAAGCAATCAATTTAATAAATTAAGGATGACATTTTTTCTTGGAGGTTTAAATGCATTCAACTAATAGGGCATTTTAGTTACGCCGATCACTATAATTTCTATCACATATAGTCATATGCTTGAATGACATGAAGTTGAGTTTCGATCGGGAATAGATATTTCCCCCTCCTCTCTACTATCAGAATGTGTTCTTATAAGGTTTAAATGATTAGATGCTACAGACAAAATGGCAATAATTCCAAGCATGCATGCAGACAAAATGGCAAATTCGGTCTTTGGTTTCAAACTTCTCTTTACTGGATCTTTGGATCTTGCACGCAGACTAAAGTCTTTGTGTGAAGTTTCAACGGAATTTGGTAAAAATTAATGTGTATATTCTCCAGACTCAACTCTTGTCTCGATCAAAATCAAATCTTGTATATTTCTTCTTTTTACGTTTCTTGA